CAACATGTTTTTCAATTCATTATAAATCTTTTCCTAGAAGTCTTTCACCTTGGGACACTTATAAGCAGAATCCTAGCTTTACTCTCCAATGGGTACAAGCAAATAACAATAAGCTGGAGACTATATGCAGTCTGCAGCGGTAAGGCCTCCTGATGCCCATAGGCAAACAGCTTTCGTCTTTATGCTAGGTATCATGGAACTTTCACACATTAAGTTCAGTAAATTAGATTTCTGGTTGCGTATCGCTTTATGGACTCACTTCAGGAAAATCTGTTAACTTGACTGCATGATTGTTCGGCATCTTACTGTTCTTAAAGCATAGCCTTCTTGAACACTGAGGTACTGGAATTAAATTTAATTATCAATGTTCAGGATAAAATTGTATGATTCAAGTTCATATATCAGCTTACCTCCCTGCACACATTTTCAGAGAAGGGGAGGAAAATGGAAAACATAGTATAATACCTACCTTGGAGATTAAGATTTTTGGAAGGAAGGTTGTGTGCATGTTTGCATTTCTATGTTGCAAGTACAAAACTCAGCCTCCACCCCCAACCTGTTTTCAAGGAAATCGAGGTGTAAAATGCAGCAAAACACAACATTTCCCTTGAGCACTGAAAGAACAAAATGATACTTGGTTCTATAATCATGACATAATTTTCCATTGGAAGCCTGAACATTAAGTGAAGCCTTTGCACCCATTTTATAAGGGAGGAAGGAGATGCAGAATACTTTGCAATGCAATATCTGGAGCAAGGCTTCCCAAACGCTATGATGGTTTTTTAATAGTTATTTGATTCCCAGAACAATACCCCCCTGAGGGGAATAGATGTCTACAAACAACTCTCAACTTTCAGGGGAAGGCATGGCTGTTAAAATGGTATCAATAATGCTTTAGGGGTAGATGGGGCTTGTCAGCCTGGGAAGGTAGCCCACCTAGGAGAAGGAAAACTCGGATCCTAAGCCTCCACTGCCTTGTGGGATATCTTTGGGACAAGAAACGGCTAAGGTGTAAACTCTACACAAATCTAGAGTGCAATCCCTAAGCCAATTGGCTGGCGCCTTGTACACCTTCTGACAACTGCAGCCAGGCTGGTGCCAAATGTATTGCTCTGTTTTCCTTGGGACCACATCAGCGAGGCCAAGATAGAGGTCTTGTCATCTGGGCAGCCCTGCCCAGGTTTATGTCCCAGGGAGGTCATTTGGATGCTGCTAACACAACGGTTTGACTTCAACCCTTGGAGGTGCACTCCATTGTCTCAAGACAGACAAGCAGTGCCACCCTCTGGAGTGGTTGTAAGTAGGAAGACAGGCAAGTGAGGGCTTGCTGAGGTTGATGGACAGTGGCCTCTTTGCCCTAATGGGCCAACCTCCACTGGCTATACTGGGATATATCCTTGGCAGCTTTGCTGCATTGGCACTGGGAGTGACTTAGCTACTTTCCTTTTCAACCAGGCAATTCCTTCACCATAACTGCTTGGTGTAATTTCTGAATAACTTTTTTTGTGGTACCCCAGCACAGTTTCTTAGATTTCAAGTTGTGGCCCTGGTCCTCAAAATTTTGTGGAGCCCTGCATTAAAAGATCTGTTGCACCTCCGCACATATTGGTGGTTTTGTATATCACAGTAAACCATCGTTCATGGTCAATCATTTAGACGATCCCTGTTTTGCTTCTCCTTACAGCAAGCAACAAACCTTCACCCATGCCTTAGTATTAAGTCAGAGCCAAGAATTGTGGTTTGTTTCACTCTAAACAAACCGTGACGTGAAGCCAGCCGTGCTTTGTTTGAGAGAAACAAAACCACGACCCCTAATTCAGACGTACTGCTAAACAAGGGGATCGTGGTTTGTTTCTCCTCTTGCACTTGGGGACGATAGCAGGAGCCACCTGTCCTTCCAGTGTAAACTATTTATTATGGTTTAGTGTGATATGCAAACTGAGCTATTATATAATTGATAAAATCCGTCCTGGTACTGAAGCAATCCTTTGGAACCTTGCAATAGGCTGGTTCATGGGTATGCTGTAGATTAGATGCTCCTTGATCTGTCTGCTGCTTTTGACACCATACACCATGTTGTCCCCGGAATGTTTGGAACAGATGGCAGAACTGTCTGGAGTTGGTCTGCCTTCATTCAAATATTATCTTGCGAGTAGCTGCTAATTTGCTAGTTAAACATTCCAATCCTCCGAGCAGGTTTCTGTCTAACAGGAATTGGCTTTGCTTTTTAGGGGCTTTGTGGCTCATCTTTCTTTTGATATTCCGTTTTATTAGGAAGCTGGTAAAAATTTGTTTCTCTCTGGGCTCAAAGTTACTTTATTCGGAGGCCTTCAGATCTCCATTTCTTCCCTTAAATATCTTGTCTCTAGAGGTTTTTTCCTTCCTCTTTCTCTCTGTAGAAAGATAAATTGAAATGTTATCATGTCATTCCGCACAGTGCAAAATTTTCTTTGGGAGAGAGCACTGGGGAAATATGGTGTTTTGTATTTACAAAGATATTCTAGTATGTAAGAATGAACATTTTAAAAAAGAATATTCTAGTATGTAAGAATGAACATTTTAAAAAAGAATATTTAGTACGTATCCCACTTTTCTTCATGACAGAACTCGAGGTGGTATGCAGAGAGTCCCCAGGCAGTCTCGCACCTTCAAAAAGGCACTATTTGTTTTATTGTTGAATCCTAAGATATGGTTTGAAGGCACATCAAGCCTAGAGTTGCCATATTTCAAAAAGGAAACCCCCAAAGTTTTCTTTATAAAAATGGCAAAAATCAGGATTTTTCTAGGACAAAGTGCCACGTTTTGCAACTACCTCCTGGACGTCAATCCCGGTAGTGTCCAGGAAAATCCAGACGAATGGCAGCCCTAATCAAGCCACCACTTTTCTTTAGCTAATTAGGTCTGGATCCAGTCAGTCCATGGATGGTGGGTTGCCTGCAAACCACATGCACTCCACCTTGAGTTCCAAAGTGGAAGAAACGGCAGTGCATATCAAATAAGAAAATAAATACATAAAATCTGTGTGCCCCTCACATTGTGTTTGGGACTGAGCACATCCATGTAGCTCTATTCCCAAAGCAACAGTGCCATCCCTCGGTCTAATTACAGCCAGCCTTTAGAAAAATTAGAACAGCCTTTTTTGCTTCCTCAAACAAATTTCCAGCTACCCAAATTATTATCGAGAGACATTCTGAGAACCGCAGCTGCCTATTGGGCCAACTAATCAGGATTATATTTTGCAACGTCACGTTTCCAGCATGTACAAAGACCAAAATAGAGAGGAACAATTTGCGTACCAATATACAAGCCTGTGTGGGCTTCTGTGCACACTCCTCCCTGCAGACTAGGACCCATGTGCTCAGCACATTGCTGAACCCCAGGATGCAAGATCTTTAGCAGCGACAGTTCCTGCTTTTGGACTGCAAACTCCACAGTTCTGGCTGCCAGCCTCTAGTGCCACCTACATCAGAGTACTTTGATGTGTTATCTTTTACAGATTGTGAACAGCTTTGAGCAGCAGTAAAGAAGACCAAGATATACCATTTGTGTGGGAAGCTCAGCACATGTGAACCTGCCCTATTAATCTTTGAGTCCCAGTTGAAGAAGCCAATGAAGGAGGTTAATGGCAATGTGACAAAGTTTCACATGAAACCTACTCCCCCCCCAAAAAAAAAATCCAAACACCCAGGGATGACTGTGTGCAGGATTCCTGCATTGCACAGTTTGGGCTAGATCACCCTTGGGATCTATGATTCTATGATCTATTGGCATGCGGTGGTTATGTAGAGTGGCAGAGAGAAAGACATGCATTCTTCGCATGTTCAAAGGCACTCTCACTTCCACCAAGTCCTGGTTCATGTTAAGTTCTTAATCTGCTCCTCTTGTCTTTTATCTTGAGTTTCTGATTCCAAAACACGAAGTACAGCTGTGTTTTCCCTACAGTTTGTAGAACAGAAAAAATGTTAATTTCAAAAAAGCGGTTTACAGTCAAGACATGCACCCTGGTGATAAAATTTCCCCACAGGAATACCACCCATCAACACAGTACAACTATCAACTTGCTAGAAAAATTCCCCTGGGCTGAAATCTTTGCAATCATTTATATTATAATAGGATTGGTAAACTGCCAGGTCTTGTGAATTTTACACACGGTCTTTTAGGGAGACTTCAAATTTTTCATGTTCTGTTTAAGAACAATCTCATGCCTTTTTCCAAAGATCAGCTTCAAAATATATACATAATTTATAATCCAAGGAGGATATTTTCCTATTAAATTTTTAAAGCATTTTTATTACAGTGCAAAACACTCCAAATTCCTAGACTTTTTCAAGAGGAATGAAAGGAAACCTTAAAGTCTTTGTCTTCTTCTTCTTCTTCTTCTTCTTTGGCATGAACATTTTAAGGAAAGAGTCTTATTCCATCAGATGCATTGGTAGAGAAGACCACACATTTGCTGGCATCTGTCTGTCTCAGGAGACAATGGAGGAGTGTGCCTTTGGCGGTGAAGTCAAACTGTTTGAATGTTACAATGCCTGCTGTGGGTGTAGTGACCAATTTGGGAGAGGTATGAGTGGAAGTCTGCTGTACTGCTGTACCAGTTTCAGAAAGGAGTTACTTTCCAGCCTCAGTAGCTGGTCACTTATTAAAAGGGGTTTAATCTTCAATACAGTGGTACCTTGGTTCTCAAATTTAATCCATTACGGGAGTCCGTTCAACTCCCAAAACCATTCAAAACCAAGGCGCGGCTTCTGATTGGCTGCAGGAGCTTCCTGCACTCAAGCAGAAGCTGCGGCGGACGTTCGGCTTCCAAAAAACGTTCACAAACCGGAACATTCACTTCCTGGTTTGCGACGTTCGGGAGCTGATTTGTTCGACAACTAAGCCGTTTGACTACCAAGGTACCACTCAAGGTACCACTGTACAGTGGTACCTCGGTTTATGAACTTAATCCGTTCCGAAAGTCCCTTCTTAAACTGAAACCATTCTTAAACCAAGGCACGCTTTCCCTAATGAGGCCTCCCACCGCTGGTGCCCTTCCGCCTTTCGGATTCCGTTCTTACATTGAGGTAAAATTTGCAAACCAGGACACTACTTCCGGTTTTGCGGAGTTTGTAAACCAAATCATTCGTCAACAGGACTGTTCTTAAACCGAGGTATCACTGTTCTACCAAACTGATCACTGCAGTTCCAACTGTCAGTACTGCTAAACCAGTACTGTGAAGATCTCTCATTAAAAGACAGACCTAGAAAGAAGGATACACATGGAAACCATGGTGAGGGTGGCTGAGTGATGGAACTGGTGATTACAGAGGGCTGCAGATAGCTCGGAGATGAATTGTATGCCAAAATGGAAAGGCAGATTAAATGTGGACAGATGTGGCAGGCAGATGTAGGCGGAACTGTACTGGTAGCGAGGTTTGGAGTCAGAAAACAGATACTGATTTCACAGAGCACCAGGCACCCCGAAGTTCATCTGTTCAATTTACCTTGGCTCCTGGCATTTAAACCACGGTGGACATTATCAAACGTTTGTTCTGCGAAGCTTAACGATTGCATGTTTGCTAGACTTTCAATATTTACCTTTCAGGCTATCTCAAGCCCTGTTCATTCTGCAGCTGTTGTCTTCCCTCCACCCCACCCCACGAAATAAGACAGGTGCTAACTGGCAACTTGTATGTTACATGTTCCTGAGTTCAAAGAAATGACAATCTTTTCATTATTTAGGTAAATCCACGAGGGAATTTTGCAGACAATCCACAAGACAATGCTTTCCCTTTCCCCCCCAGGTAATTGGAGCTGCACACAAACACACCCCGCATTTACCCCAATAGTACTGCTTGTGATCACTGCACAAATATTGAAGGAGAGGGGGGGGGGATACCTTTTTGCAGGGGGAGAAACCTGTTTGATCCCTTTTCTTGCAATCCAGAGGTATGCACTCCAGCGCAAGAAAAATAGTTAAGGCACATGGAAAGAATATTGCTTTCCTTAAGATGAGAATATAATGTTGAAAAGCCAAGGTATTGCTGTGAAAACAGATTACTCGCAAATTTTTCCTCCTCTTTCCTTTTTAGGGAACTATATGGGACTCGTATTTGCTTGAGTGGAGAAGCTCTGTGAGAAGAGGTCAGGGAAACTTCCAGCCAGAAGGGGAGCCAGCCAGGCTGGAAGTGATGAAGCTGGGAGCCCATGCTGAAGAAAAAAGGTAAAGGTAAAGGACCCCTAGACAATTAAGTCCAATCAAAGGCGACTAGGGGGCTGTGGCGCTCATCTCTCTTTCAGGTCGAGGGAGCCGGCGTTTGTCCACAGACAGCTTTCTAGGTCATGTGGCCAGCGTGACTAAACCACTTCTGGCACAATGGAACACAGTGACGGAAACCAGAGTGCATTGAAACGCCTTTTACCTTCCTGCCGCAGTGGTACCTATTTATCTGCTTGCACTGGTGTGCTTTCGAACTGCTATGTTGGCAGGAGCTGGGACAGAGCGATAGGAGCTCACCCCGTTTCAGGGATTTGAACCACCGACCTTCCAATCGCCAAGCCCAAGAGGCTCAGTGGTTTAGCACTGCTCAGGGTGAAGCAATGAGAGGAGAACTGTGTATGCCACCATGAACTTCTTGGAGAAAAGGTGGGATATAAATGCAGTAATAAATAATCATGCAAATTCAAGAAGATCTATTTTGTTCCCACTGGGCCTGACTTTTACCCCAGAGTCCTTGAGAAAGCTCTGTACCTGCATGTGCAGTTGTTCTCTCTCTGTGGGGAAAGAGGCGATCTTTTAAAATCCCAGATGGGTCCATAGTCCCCCAAACGTGGCTGTAACATACCAATAGCAGAACTAATGCAGATGGATCCAAGTTGTGAAAATTTGGTTTATGCTTTGGTTGCAAATGCCCTACCTACTTGCTTATTTGCCTGTTTACTTGCTTTCTTCCCCCCCCCCCTTTTTTAAACCCTATTTAATAAAAAGCATGGCGTATCTGAAAACAAACAGAAAACTACTAACTCATCATCTAAGGGAAATAAAAAATAAGATATTGGCCTCTTTTCTTCCTTTTATTTGTATTAAATGCAGCATGCATTTTTTTTACTTATGTCAATGGGTTTTGTTGCCTATGTGTTGTTCAGCTGTTTCTCTGTATCAAGCCAGCAGCGTTTTAGGTTCTGATTCATACAAATAAATGTACGGTAAGAACTATGGAAGGCAGAGCAAGTTTTGTGGCAGGGCAATATACCATTGAATGGTAGAAACTGCCCAGTATTGATTGCTTGCTCAGGCTGCATACCCTTCTCTCCCTTAAAAGAATTGTGCATTGCAGACTTTTTAAACAAAAACAACCCTGGAAAGTCTGGCACTAAGATTTAGCAGATCCTAGTCATTTCTAGACACCCCCCATCCCCCATCCCTTCAGTCTGTCTCCCCTTCCCCCAACCACCATCTGTCTGTCTCCCATTGTAAATGCTTCGCTTCCTGATAAGACTTTCCAGTTCCCACTCCCCAGCCCTGCTGCCTCCCCATCCATCAGTTCCTTGCAGTAAATGCTCTTCAGGCAGACTCTCAACAGTCTGCTCCTTCCTCCATCTACCCTTCCTGCAGCCCGCCTCCCCACCCCTCCTACTTTTCACTCACCAAGAGCCAGGCTTACAAAGAGGCTTGCAACTAGTATGGTCTTTTAGGTGTGCTTCACACTTCAGGCACCCCAGACAAATCTTATTAGGTAAGTCCTAAGGAGCCCATTCGGGGACGCAGGTGGCGCTGTGGGTTAAACCACAGAGCCTAGGACTTGCTGATCAGAAGGTCGGCGGTTCGAATCCCACGACCGGGTGAGCTCCCGTTTCTCAGTCCCTGCTCCTGCCAACCTAGCAGTTCGAAAGCACGTCAAAGTGCAAGTAGATAAATAGGTACCGCTCTGGTGGGAAGGTAAACGGCGTTTCCGTGCACTGCTCTGGTTCGCCAGAAGCGCCTTACTCATGCTGGCCACATGACCCGGAAGCTGTACACCAGCTCCCTCAGCCAAGAAAGCGAGATGAGTGCCGCAACCCCAGAGTCGGTCACAACTGGACCTAATGGTCAGGGGTCCCTTTACCTTTACCTAAGGAGCTGCATGTTTTAGTCACATTGAAGGCAATGGGACAAGCAACTCGTGGCCAACTTGATTCTTACTGATTTCAATGGGTCTAATTTAGCTGGACCCAACTTCTTGTCTAACCAGAAAACTCACCCAAATGTCTTGAACCCCCCCAGGCTTTGCTGTGACATTGCAGCCAACATTCGCTGTGACCCCAGCAGACCCCTGTTAAAGGAAGAGACACCTGAAATTGTTGTTCTTGCCCTTTCTGCTGTTTAAAATGAGCATCTGCTGTGCAATTGTGTACCAGGCAATGATTTTGTTTTGGTTTCAGTCCTGCACAGACATGCCAAGGAAATATTTTCTTCATTGCATTTTCTCTCTCTTGGAAGACTTTGGAGCATTGCTACACAACCCGTGCTACATCCTTTGCTCCTGTAAGCAGCAGGTTACTAAGCCACAAGGACTAAAAATGAAAATGAAGCACTGTCACTTAGACCTGCTTTGTTTTGACAGCAGAGGAGGAGCATCCTGTCTGTTCCCATTAGCTGATAACTAGAATCCGAGGCAAAGTGTGAAATCCAGACCGTGCTCAGTTTTACACAGCGGTGCAGTGAAGGGGGAAGACAGCTCTGGGACTTTTTCCGGGCATCTGCCGGAGTGCAAGAATAGTGGGCAAAGTTTCCTTGCTCTGGCAAGCATATGAGGTGACAGCAAGGCTTTCAAGTTTGCACAGAGGAAGTCAGAGAATGAGGAAGATAATCCGGCTGAGGCTGCTCATTCCTTTTCTGTGATGGAGCTCTTATACTAGCAGTTTAAAAGACTAATACGTCTTCACGAAATTGCATACCTAGTGAAAAGCTCACGGTTGCATTCTAACTGGCTCAAGGTATTTTGTTAAATCTCGGAGCGCTATATACAAGTTGAACCTATGCAGGAAATAAGCAGTGCTGAGTTCAACGGTGATGATTCTCAGGAAGCTGGCAGTCATGCCAAGCCTAATAAAGTGGGTATTAAACTCTCTGGTTGGTGTGTGTGCCTGTGTTGGTTCTTCTATATCATTAAACCACACTTGAACCAGATGGAGGATTCCTTCCAGCGGAGGTCTTCTGGCAAGTAGAGAACTGACCTGGGTAAAGTAGGAGACGTGGCCGTAGGTGTGCATAGGACTGTGCTGTTAGGTAACTCTGGATTAGTGCAGTTCATGCATGCATGGCAGTGATGGGAAACCTCACCGAATGTGGCCCCTCAGACCACTCTAACTAGTCCTTAAATCTACCCCAGGCCACACACTCACACCCAAGATTTTTTGCTTGCTAGGATGTGTTCTTCCACCCCCCACCCCCTTCCGTCCCTCCTGCTGGAATATGCTCTAATGACTATTGCTTGTCCAGAGCGAGGAGACATGCCCTTTGGCACCTGAGGCAAATCATAGAGGTGTTCACTCCTGCCAGATAAGAAAGGGTGAGTGAACATTGGGAACAAAGTGTGTTGGGGGGGGTCAAATCCACCTTACCCAGTGGTTGAAGTGGGAATCAAAACTTGTTGTTTGGGGGGAGGGGCTGCTCTGAAACACACCGGGTGGGTGCAGAGCCCAGGAGACCCCAGAGGGCAGCCCTTGTAATTTTCTTCCTATGGGGGGGGGGGGGAGAGACCACCCAGAGGCTGCATTGGAAAGGGTTGCTGAGAAGGTGGCAGATCTGGCCTACAAGGAGTGCCCTGAGGCTGTTGCTGTTATCATGGCAGCGTCAGCAGCAGCAGGTGATGCATTCTTTGGAGATTGGATCCTGCCACCTGAGGCAGTTGCCTTGCCTTGCCTTGCCTCATGGGTGGGCCAGCCCTGTAGCCAAGGTAAGATCACTATGTGTTGCTCTGCTCTGCCCACTTTTGTCCCTAGCCCTTGGCCCTTGTCAGATTGCCCAGAACAGGCATCCCCAAACTCGGTCCTCCAGCTACAACTCCCATGATCCCTAGCTAACAGGACCAGTGGTCAGAGATGATGGGAATTGTAGTTCCAAAACAGCTGGAGGACCAAGTTTGGGGATAACTGGCCCAGTAGGTAACACAACCCCCTCACTAAAAGGATTCCCCACCACTGTTGTATAGCAAAGCATCAGGAAGTATTGGATAACGTGCAAGAGAGAATTGCTACTGCCCACTCACCTGCTACACCCATTCTTTAGCAGTTCTGTGATAATAAATATATACTTGAGAAAGCATAGGCATGGATGGAACTGCACTGGCTTTGTTTATTTTCATTTATTCTGCTTTTATTTTTTATTTGTTTTCATCTTTAGGGTTTTGAATGTTATTTTACAAATACTGTCAATAAACAGAGAAACGTCCTTACCCACTGTCATCACACAGGTGCCAAAAACAGAGAAAGCGGCCATGGTGCTCCTCATGCCCAGGGTGCTTATAGGAAAAGGAATATATTTTATTGATTCATTTATTATATGCCTCTTCCTACTAGAAAACAGGCTTCTGAGCGGTTTGCAAAGCATAAAAACCAGTTGCATAAAGATTAAACAGCTGTAATTAAAGCACACAATAAAACAATCTCATGATTAATGCATTTTTTAAAATCCGTAATTAAAATAAAGAATAAAACAATCCCATCAAAGCAAAATTGCAACTAAAGCAGGAGAGTCGGGTTGAGAGATCAAGGGGATGCCTATGTAAGCAGGTGCATCTTCAAAAGGCATCAATACCAACACAGAGGGGGCCTCTCATATTTCAGCAGGGAGTGCATTCCATCACACAGGTTCCACCAGTGAAAAAGCCCAATGATAATCATGCTCTGGCAAAAACCAACTGAGTTTCAGTTGTTGATCTTAATGCCCTCACTGGGTAATGACAATGATAGCTCATGAAATTCAGCCTTTCCACGTGCTTCTCAAACAGTGGCCGAAACACCCAAGGTGCTCTAAGGTGAATTTTCAGTGTCTCAATGGGACCACAATGAAAACGCTGGAGGGCCCCATATTTCTTGGAAGATTCTGTTATATCTGCTGGCTCTGTGTAAAAGCTTAGATGGGGCAGCTACACTTGGAAGCACTGGTGCTCTTATTATTGATTTGTTTACTGCCACTGTTGAGCTAGAAAGGCCTGCCAGAGCTGTATATAAAGCAATAAAAACAAGGCACCTGATTTGACTAAATTCTTGAGGAGCTGGTTTTGTGGCCTTGTGTCAATCGTATGGACACCAGAAGCCTCTGCCGAATCAGGCCAATGGCCCATCTATTTTTTTTTTTTTTTAAATAATTTTTATTAACTGGCCAATCACATCAAATTAAATCACATCACATAAATTCCAAATTACAAAGCCAAATTTTTAAATTTTGTTGGGGGAACCCATACTTCAAGATCCAAAGGGGAATTCAAATCATCTTCTTATTACTGCATTAATGTCCAAATCAGTCCCAATCAGTCCAAACAGAGTTCATAGTTCTATCCAATCTTATCTTGGTGTTTCCACATCATATCTTGTTCATATAATTTTTCTTTTTCCTTTACGATCTCTTCTGTTAGTCTCCTTAAGCCGATAAGCAAATATAATAATCCTGTGTGAATTTCCCGTTCTTCCAATCTAAGTCCAGATGGTTTCCATAAATCATCTCCTTCGTAGATAACATCGCTCTTTCCATCATAAATTAGGCAGTTGTCACTCTTAAATCCCACCGAGGAGTTAGTCCACGATATGTAAACAACTCTGTTTCTTCTCCTCCCAGACTCAAGAGCTCCGACAGTGCCTCCCAAAATGGCGACGGCATTTTTAACTGCGTCATTCCAAAACTCTTAAATTTCCAGCTTCGTCTTGGAACATTGCTTTGGTTCGAAAATTTATCTCCACACAGCCTTAAATCCACAACTTAAGTCCTTAAAACGACATTTCTGACTCTTTAGGGAGGGATTCTTGTTTAATCACATAGAGAAATAAAAGAGAGTTTTCCCCCTCCCCCTCAGTCATTTGCCGTACCGTATCTTGACGTATCTTCTCATATCTTATTCTTGTCTTGTTTTATCAGAGATCTCTTCTGTCAGCAGTCTTTACTCCCCTCTTTCCTTGAAGTATGTGCAATTTATCTCGTCCAAATTGTTTCTTTTGAAGATTCTTGCAAACTAGTGGCGCGGATCAGAGACGGCTTCGAGGAGTGCCGGAATCCCACAGGAGGGCTTTGTGCCTAGTGCCCCCATCCCCACAAATTCGGGGGTGGTATAGGGCACAGCAGGCAAGGGCCGTCCCCACAATCCTGGAGGGGTTAAGGAGGCTAATTACCCCCATCATAGCCTCCAAATTACCTCATGTGGGTCGGAGAGATGTTATTGTCAGCCATCTTCCGATGCGCCCCCTAGTGGCCCCCCCCCAGGCCAATGGCCCATCTAGTCCAGCATCCTGTTCTCTCACTGGCCAACCAGAAGACTGTGGGATGCCTGGAGACAGGAGGTGAGTGCAAGAGCACTCTGCCCACCTGCAACTGGTCTTCAGAAGCATGCTGCCTCCGACACTGGAGGTGGGACATATCTGTTGTGGTTAGTAGCCAATGATAGCTTTCTGAATCTGTGTAATCTTTATAGTCATCCAAGTTGCTGGCCCTCACAGCCTCCTGCAGAAGTGAGTTCCATAGTTTAAGTATGAGCTGCACAAAGATACATTTTCTTTTATCTGCCCTGAATCTTTCAACATACAGCTTCACTGAATGCCCATGAGTTATCCATATTTATCCATTTTCTCCATGCCATGCAGAGTTTTATAACCTTCTACCTTGCCTTCATTATTAAATGCCTCCTAGCTTCTGAACCATAATTTGAGGACGGGCTGATAATAAAAGAGTGTTTCATAATAACTGTTCTAGAATGAAAACGCATGGAGGAAGCTTTTCTAGAACTTCCTAGAAATGTTTACATTGTGGGTTAAACTGAAAGCCTATGCGGGAAAGAAAGAACATCAAGATCTAAATGAATCAAGGGTCTGGAAACCAAGCCTTATGAGGAGTGCTTGAAGGAGCTGGGTGTGTTTCGCCTGGAAAAGAGGAGACTGAGAGGAGATATGATAGCCATTTTCAAATATCTTAAGGGCTGTCACATGGAGGAGGGAGCATGCTTGTTTTCTCCTGCTCTGAAGGGTGGGACCCGAACCAATGGCTTCAAGTTACAAGAAAGGAGATTCTGACTAAACATTTGGCAGTGGAACAGACTTCCTCTGGAGGTGGTGGACTCTCCTTCCTTGGGGCTTTTTAAGCAGAGGTTGGGTGACCATCTGTCATGGATGCTTTAGCTGATATTCCTGCATTGCAGGGGGTTGGACTAGATGACCCTCAGGGTCCCTTCTAACTCTAAGGTTCTATGATTCTATGAATATATCATACCCAACCAAGTCCAAGAAAAATTCTCTAAAAAAATAAGTTTATTTATAGTTTTCATTTGTAACAAATAAACAATGCAACAAAGAAATAAAAACAGTTCTCACATATTGAACTTCGACTTCCCTCCCCCTCTTCCAGCTGTTCCATGAATTTACCCCCATTCCTCCCCCCGCATATCCCAGTTAACTCTCTTTATTCTTTTCCTCTTCTTTCATACATGTTTTAGAAACTGCAAGTTTTTACAGTAATCCTGCTAATGCCTTAAATTATTTACAATTTGTTTGTAAATACTCAATAAACGATTTTCCATTCCATGATTAAAAAAAAAAAAACTGTTATCTTGATTTCTTATTCTTCCGGTAAGTTTCACCATTTCTGCATTGTCCATTAATTTCTATAACTATTCTTCTTTCGTCCGGACTTCTTCTTTCCATTTTTGGGTGGATATCATTCTTGCGGCAGTGCTTGCATACATAAATAAATTTCTGTATTGTTTAGGTAACTCTGATCCCATAATTCCCAAGAGAAAAGCTTCTGGGTTGTTGTTTTTACAACTCAAACATGGGTTGTTGTTTTTAACTCAAACAACTTTTTCAATCCATTATATATCATTGCCCAGTAAACTTTAACCTTATTACAAGACCACCACATATGGAAAAAGGTACCTTCTTTCCTATCCAAAAAAAATTCCACCCCCCTGCACCCCCCAAAAAATCCAATAATTTTTTTGTAAAAAATTATAAATAATTTAAAAACAACAACACTGTTCGCTGAGTACATCGCAAAGGAAAGTGCTTTGTATTCCACAAAGTGAAAATAACCACATTCTGCAGCTAAGTACTCATATTGCTAGCGCTACTTTTCCTTTCGGTTATGTAACTTGGAAAGAAAGCAGTAGCAGCGCCTAAGTCCTGAAGGAACTGTGCCATGACTCCCTCTCCTGGTCCTGAATAGGCAATGTTACTGCTGACACTAAGGAAAAGCTCTGGGTCTTCTGAACTTCAGCTGCTTTCCTGTTGCTTGCAGGAGAGGCTTCCCCATCCTTGCACGGCCGCCGGCAATTGTCGGATGAAAACGGGGGTGGGGGTGGGGGTGGAACAGTAGCTTCTCCTGCTGTGATGCAGAGCAAGTGAAATGATACCATGGGATTTGGTAGATGGTGTTTGCCCTCCCTTCAAAGATGCTTAGGGTAATTTCTAATGAACTTTGAGGTACCACAAATTTACACAAATCTGGTTCTGTCAGAACATTTTAGCAATGTTGCTCCATCAGGTATCAGAATACACACACAAAACGACTATCTTGGAGTAACTGAGGGATCTATTTAATTATTTGGAACCGAAACCAATGGCGCCAAGTTACAAGAAAGGAGATTCCAGCTAAACATCAGGAAGAATTTTCTGTCAGAGAATGCCGTTTGACAGTGGAACGGACTCCCTAGGGAAGTGGTGGACTCTCCTTCCTTGGAAGAGTTTAAGAAAAGGTTGGATGGTCATCTAGTTGAGATTCCTGCATTGTGGGGGAGGGAGTTGGACTAGATGACCCTGAGGGTCCTTTCCAACTCTACAGTACTATGATTTTGGTAAAACGGCAGCAAGCACCCCACACAGTAAAAAAAAAGGCACTGTACTGTATCCTATATCCTTGGTTTGTGATCAAATACTTCCTGGTCCTATGAACATCAGGTACTGACATTAACATGGCTATAATTGTGTTTTGCAAGTAGCAACACAGTTGCCCTGCCCAGCTGTGTGTGGTATTTAGACAGGATGAGAAGGATGGCGAGTATGACTACCTGTCATCTTCACCAATGAGAACTTATACAGAAAATCTGCATTCACATCACTTGGCCACCTGCCATCTTCAGCATGTTTACTTGGATGTAAAGTTAGTAGGTAAGGTAAAGGTAAAGGGAACCCTGACCATTAGGTCCAGTCGTGACCGACTCTGGGGTTGTGGCGCTCATCTCACTTTATTGGCCGCTGTACAGCTTCCGGGTCATGTGGCCAGCATGACTAAGCCGCTTCTGGCGAACAAGAGCAGTGCACGGAAACTCTGTTTACCTTCCCACCAGAGCGGTACCTATTTATCTACTTGCACTTTGATGTGCTTTCGAACTGCTAGGTTGGCAGGAGCAGGGACCGAGCAACGGGAGCTCACCCTGTTGCAGGGATTCGAACCGCTGACCTTCTGATCAGCAAGTCCTAGGCTCTGTGGTTTAACCCACAGTGCCACCCGCATCCCTTAAAGTTAGTAGGTGGCCAGATGCAAAAGCAGGTATCTTGGCCTTCTGTACCTTCAATAGCTGAACTTCACCTATAACACCTATAACAGCATGACAAGGTACATCTTTTGGGCAACTATTACAGGTGTCCTCTTTTACACCTAGCTATCCTTGAAACCACTGAGCAAGTACCGGTACATTTGGAACTGGGATTCTGGAGTCCATCATCAGTGTAGTTCCTAGGCTGTAAGTTCTGATGAAATATAGATTTCCTTCTACATAATTAACCTGCCCCACTGAAGCCACACACAGAAGCATGTGTCTGCAAACACATTCCCTGCTAGAACTGTAGCTTTATTTTTATTTTATTTATGTTTTAAAATAACATCTTGCAAAAGCAAACTTCCATCAGCTTGCAGGGATTGTCCACTCTTATGAAGGTGTGACCTGGTTCATCAGTTTTATATAACTCACATCCCCCCTTGTCCTTGCCTCCTTTCATCTTGTGTCTTCTTGCATTTGTAAACTGTGTTTGTGTGTGCATGCACACAATTTAATTTAAGTGCCAAATAAAACATGCATAAAATAATAATGACCCGATTAGAGTTGTCACCTTTTTTTCTGGAAAAACTCTTCTACTCGGTGAATGAACACTAAACAGGCTGAAGATTTTGCAGCATGGAAATGCAATGCTACTTTTAAACAAAAACTTAACAACCTGAACAGAAAAAGTCCCTTGCATTCTATGCAATTATTCCACCTCAAAGTCTGATAACAACATAAGGAGTGCTTGAAAGGAAGACATTCAGGCTGAAAGGGGTTTTTTTCCCAACCAAACATTATTCTTGAACTGATAGATAAGGTAGTTTAAGTGCTGCTGTTAGAGCATTCTGGGAGACATCCTGGTTTCCCCAAAGGCAGCTTTTAATACTGCCATCCTGGTGCTATCTTTGCTAATGGCTTTTCAAGAGGAGAGGATAAAAAGAGAAGAGTTACACTAAGAGAGGTGCTAAAATACAAGGTGATGACATTCACTCTTCCTAACTCTCATCAAACAAATCAGTGTGCATAATTAGCGTCCAGATTCTGACGGGTCATTAATTAGTATGCACAGTGTTTGTTTAAGCGGATCCCTCCCCCTTGCTCTCTACTTTTAAACTGAAAAGAACTTCTAATTGCTTTCAACTTGGAGCGCCATAGCAACCAAATGTTGACTATCAAGTTTAGAGGGTTCTTCCAGTGCTTGTAGGTAGGCTTCTCGATGAATCTTGCCTTACGAGTTCAGGATTCGTGTCTCATCTTGGAAGTTCAACAGGGGGAATATCTAAGCAAATTGACACTATTATTTAGCAGAACAGCTCACTTTCTTAATGGTTTAGTGCAAAAGACAGCCTGTGTGGATTTTGTTTTATTTGGGAAGCTATCTGGCTATCTTTGGGGTGGGAGGAAACAGATGTACAGCAGACACCTAATAAAAGGGGGAATTGGTTGTTCCTATTGGATAATCAGCATTCATAAAAACCTCACTCCATATAAGGGATGGAATTGGGCATAGAATGACATCATCATCATATATTATTATTACTATTACTATTACTACTACAGTTGTACCTTGGAAGTTGAATGGAATCCCTTCCGGAAATCCGTTCGACTTCCAAAACGTTCGAAAACCAAATCACAGCTTCTGATTGGCTGCAGGAAGCTCCTGCAGCCAATCAGAAGCCACGGAAGCCGTGTCGGACGTTCAGGTTCCAAAAGAACGTTTGCAAACCGGAACAATCACTTCCAGGTTTGCGGCGTTGGGGAGCCAAAATGTCCAAGTTCCAGGGCGTTCGGGATCCAAGGTACGACTGTATTACCAACATTACAAAATACCAGCTGTCTTCACCAATACCTTATCAAGCCCTGATCAAGTCTCCGCCTAGGTCTTGAAGATGCAAGATCCTTCAATGAGAACCATATAGAATCATAGATCTGTAGAGTTGGAAGGGACCACAAAGGTCATGTAGCCCACCTCCCTGCAGTGCAGGGATCTTTCACCCAACGTGGGTTCGATCCCACGACCCTGATATGAAGAATCTCATGCGCTACTGACTGAGCTATTCCAGGACTATGCTGCAAAGTTTTGCTAAACAGTACCATCTCAAACTCCAGGTGAGGAACAGCATGTTCTCTCTTATAAAAAGCCTTCTGCACATCTAGAACACTTGCAAGCTAAGGGACACAACTGCTTCTTCTTTTTTCCTTCAGTTGCAGTGGAGCAATGGAGACAAGTTTCCCCTCCTGTCTGTAATCCTGGGAAATGGAAGTAGAAATTCCCCAGTTTTGGAACAGGCAATAGCTCAGGGGTAGAGTGTCTGCTTTGAATGACACAGAAGGTTCTGGGTTCAAACCCTGACACCTCCAGGTAGGACTTGCAGAAATCCTTGCCTGAAATCCTGGAGAGCTGCTGCCAATCGGTGTAGAGACAATACTGAGTCCGATGGATCAATGGTCTGGCTCAATATGCTCCTATTTAACAGTAGCTGCACAAGAAAAGTTAAGAAAAGTAGCTGCATAAACGCAAGACCAGCATCTCGCTGTGGTTTCTATTTTTATTAATAAGTTGTTAATTCTTTTAATAGCATATGAAAAGGAACATTATATAAGTCACATACACTAAACAGCCCAAGAGAAGATTCTATAAAATAATTTAGATGCATTAAATAAATACAATAAAATAGCAGCCTTCTACAATGCAGGCTACGCAGCGGTTTACTTCGGCTTGAAGTACCCTGGTCTTTAGTACACCTACAGGAGCAGACTTGCTCCAAAAAGTGTTTTAAAGAGGCATATCTATAAGATACATATAAAAGAGGGTCTAAGATTAGAAATAAGGTTTCTCCAAGACAAGTTTTACCACGGTCTCCACATGTCTAATGACCCCATGTTAATGCCATTGTGTGCAAAATGAGACTGCAGGATCTGACTGGGAGGAGACGACTCGCGCTGATTACAGTGCGAGGGTGTTTGGGGCTGGAATGGCTTTTTCAACCCCGGCTTGTCTTCGGCAGGCTGGAACTGATCCTGAGATTGGTTGGACCCTGTGCTATTCCCCTTGCTGTTCCCAGGGGTGGTAGAACTCAAGTCTGCCTTGCAGGTTTCCTCACTAGATCTGGGCAAGGACTTCAACAGGTGGTTCAGTAGCCGTGCCCCAAGGGTCTTGTCCATCCATTCGCAGGTCAGGAGGAGATTGTGGACTTCGTGCATACACTGGATATACCCAGTGCTGTACCTCTGCTGAGCTTCCAAACCCATCTTGGAATCTGCTGAACAAGAACAGAAGACGCTTCCTGTTATTAAAGAGTCAAGACTCTAGTTTATAACCAAAGTCCGCCCCTGCCCAATAGAATGAAAAGTCGCCTCTTTTCATATAACACACATTCTCTTGTCACTGACAACAATCTAGCTTGATAGCCTGCTTCAGCATAGCACTTTAGTATTCTTTGCAAGTGCAAACATAATTGTTTCATGTGCTTAGTTCACCAAGATATATTTGGTTGCTAAGAATGGTCTACAAACCCTCTGAGGTTCACAGTATCACCTTTGCTTACAGAGTGATGTATAATGTGATAAAAACCAAGCCGCTAACCAATCCTAGCCATGTCCACTCAGAAGTAAGTCCAATTTAATTCAATATAACTTAATCTCAGGTAAGTGGAGTTAGGATTGCTGTCTATGTTAACATATGGGCAATACCTATTTAGCTACTGCTAAGCTACTTAGCTGAAAATGTGAGCAAAATACCTTCAGGCAAAATTTTGCTCTGCAGGGACCACCTCTGAAACATGTACAGCCCTTGGAAACTCTATACAAGTACCGTTACATTCTATTACCTCATTTTGGTACCCTGGTTATTTTATCTTCAATGCTTTGGACTTTACACATGAAAAAATATATCTGGGGCTGTTTTGTCAAGCCTACACCAAGTGGGAGTCAGAAAAGCTATTATTACCCAGGTGTATGCTCCCAGCCTAATGAGGAAACCTTTATAGGCCTTTCTGTGGAGGTGGCACCAAGGGTTAGTTTGGGTTAAAAGAGCCATCTCAATACCCGTTAAGCCTTTACTTCCAAGGAGATACTCCAACCTGTTGTCCCGGCACCAGACTACACAAGGCAACTGTACAAGAAGCCATGAATTCCTGGTTGTAGCCCCAACGTGCCTGTCACCGCAACTTCATAAGTGAAACTATTGTTGCTGCCATGTTGAGTCTCTTGTGCATGCACTGTTAAAGGCAAGGACTTCAACCGATACTTTATAGTATGGCTATGAACAGTGCTAACAGCCCTCCATCTTAAGTACTGATATCATGTAAGAAAATGGGTACTTCCAGTCAGTAATTTTCCCCCTCTCAGCATTGCATTAACACACTAAACTAGAAATGGGATATTGAGAAGTACTTTGTGAAAGCACATTCTTTAAGAGGCTTACACCATTATAGTGTGGACTTGCTGAGGCAATGGAGACACCAGAAGGTGTGAATTGCAATTCAAGGATTGCAGTATGAATGTTTGGGAAATAGGATCCTTCTATGGTTTTGTTTGAAGATGTTGAATGGTGTGGACAGCCTTCAATAAACAATACAGTAAGCAGATTGTCTGAGAAGGCCCCTTTGGTGCTATAATATCTAGTCAGAAGTGAGTTTGAGCGGACTTTTGCCCAGGTAAGTATACATAGGATTGCAGCCTTAGTATTTTTTATTTAGCATGGAGTCCAGTAGTCACTGCTTAAACTGTTCCATCTCACTATTTTATACAATTTACAAAGTTTTATCAGTAACATCAGGCTGGAAAAGTACTGTCTTCTGACTTTTCTGTTTTACTTTTCGAACAATAAGATTGGACGGAACAATGTTCAAAGCAGTGCAGAAGTTACAGAGGTTTGAATAAACACGAAGGGGTAGAAGAGTAAAGCATACAAGTACATAAATCCACTTACCCATAACTTTGCTATTTTGGATATTCTGGAGATGCTTTACCGTCATTTCGAGGATATCTGCTTTTTCAAGTTTAGATTGCTGTTTAAAAGTGCAGCAACAAAGTGGGTTATTAGTGACAAAGAACTGTTTTTGAACAATGCTGAAAAAATAAAGCAAAAAGGGAGATGGCGCAGAGGCACGCTAAAAACCGAAACTTACATCAAGCCGAAAGGCCCCAACAACAGTCTCCTTGAGCTGGTCCAAGCAGTTGTTGATCCTCTCCCTTCGTTTCCTTTCAATCAAAGGTTTTCTTAACTACAGTGATTAGAGGGAGAATGTTAAGAGTACCTTTTCTACATGGAAAGCTTGGATCCTGCTTTTGGCTACTGGTCTTGTCAGTTCAAATGCACATAGGGCTTCAATGTTTTTGTTCTTAAAAACAGGTGGCTTTTCCATATAGCAGCAAATAATTCATGGGTACTAATGTGGCCAGTATTTTACCAGTTCGGTTGTCAAACACTCTCCTGACACAATACCCATACACCAGATTTCCACCTAGTTCAATTTTGTATAAAGTCTGACAAGGAAAACTGACAATCCTATACGTGTTTACTCAGAAGTAAGCCCTACTCCCGGGCAAGTGTGCGTAGGATTGCTGAATTTGTTTTGCCTAACAACCCAGTTACCAAGGAAGAAACAGGAAACAGTGATTTCAATTATGTCCGGAGCATGAGCTTTGTTATAAAACTCTCCATAAAAGCTTTTTACAAGTTTCCCATAATCTAATATATTGTGGTTTTTATTAAAATTTCATTCCACAACCCACCCAGTCAGACAATTCTTTTGACAACCACTTGCAGTTGTATTTTTGCTGCTGATTGTGATGGAAATCAGGTCAGGTGGAACATTAAATCCCTGCAGTGCTGCCGGCTTTCATTTCTACAACAGCATATACTAAATTCTACACACAAATAATCTACTTTCTAAAAAAAAAATAGTTGGTGATAAAAATTAAGCATATAAAGCAAAATTAAGAGCAGTAAATATAGTTTATATAAACTAGATATATTTTTCTCCTGGGTCACATGTATGGACTGAAATATACAACTCCATATTAAATATGTGTGTACAGATAACAGTCAGAGCCTGCACACACCCATGTGTTTTGTACTTTACCTTTGGTGCCAAATTGCTCTGTGTTCTTCTAACTAGCTCTTAGCTTATCTCTCGATACTGTCTGTGGGTTAGTCGCTTGAGAGCTAAATTAGGAGTTACCTCCTAGTAAAACACAGAAACAGCGACCACTAGAATGAGAACACATAGGGTTGCACACAACGTTAGTCCTACTCAGAGTAGAGCCATTGAAATGAGTGGGCATGCCTAAGCTTACATCCATTCATTTCGATGGCTGTTAGTTGGATACAACCCATCGTGTGTCCTTAAACCCTCAAGACTTCTTCTATCTCAAGCCACTTACAGAATTTGACATACCTTCCTTTCCTCTTTGGTGTTGGAAAGCTTCTGCACGCAGCTGGCCAGGGTTGTGGCAGTCATTGTAATCCACTTCGCCTGCCCCAAGGCTTAGGGGAGAAAGGGGAGGAAGCCCTTTGGCAGCTGGCTGCTCCCCTTGCCTTCTGGGGCTTTCTCTTACATGATTGCCCTGCTCTGCTTGCATTTATAGTCTGGTATTAGCATGTGAATGAAGGCATTGCTTGGCTAGCCCTCTTTTCCCACAGGAGGGGTTGAGACCAGAGGCTTGTGACCATCAATCAAGGCTGACAGGTCACTACTTTTCAATGGGCAAATCGTACACACGCACACACACATCCCGCTCCTAAAGAGCGACAGATGTCCAGCCTCTACAAAGCTATGCTTGGCAGAAATCTTTTGTTAAGGAGACGGCAGAGAATGAGAGCACTACGTGAAGGCTGTGCGGCCCCTCTCAACTGGCACTGATTCCCATGGAAGGGGTGGCTACAGCAGGGTAAAACCAGTTACACCTGGGCAATTGGGGTTAGTGGTTTTGTTGTCTTTTGTGTACAGGTTCCACTTTTTTTGGTCTGCAAATCCTACATCTCACACGCTTGATCTTCCCATCAAAATAGTCTGCATTAAGAAGTGCCCAACTGGGGCAGACTTTGGTAATCTTTTGTAATATGGCGCCCTGTGTGAGACCAACATCTGGCTCCCGCAATGGATCTTCTCAGTTATGGATCTTCTCAATTTTATGCCCCCTTGGCTCGGCCCCTTGTGCTGGGGAACTGCCCGCACAGCCTTATTTCTGGCACCGATGCCAGTCTTCTAAATAGGAACTGTGGAATGTAATCTCTCAGGAGTTGCCTACATATCTTGCTTTGTGCTATAACTGGTAGACTTTTGATCCTTGGGCAAAACTTAAGTTTAGTACCCAGGTTATTTCCTGGAGATAGGCAGCTGTGTCAGTTCCATTTTATCCAGTGACAACAGAGGTGCAGATAACATGAAGCTGCCACAGCTGTCTATCTCCAGAACTTGTGTGGAGGAAGCCACTGAATTTGCATTGACAAGAACAAATGATACGAAACTGACCAATCTTATCATTGTTAAGGAATACTCCAAAAGGGCACTGCACCTGGATTTTGGAACTCCCTCCCCAGGGAGACCTGCCTAGTCTCCTCTTTGCTGGTCTTTCATTGGCAAAGCCCTTCTTGTTCAGACAGGCCTTTCACCTACCAAGGGGAGTTGACTTTTGCTGCTGCTGCTGCTGTTCTTTGTCTCCTCGTTGGCTGCTGCTTCTAATCTGTTTGCATTGTTTTTAATCTGCTCTTTTTAAAAATATATAGATACAGAGATATTTTAATTGTGCTTTTTTTGGTTTTATAACGCACATGTCCCAAAATGATATTTCATGTTATTGTTGCCCAGCTTCAGCTCTCAGCGGTCAAAGAAAGCCCTGTGAGGACGAGAGAGCATGTTGTGCAAAAGAGCTGATCTTCCTAAGCGCTTTTAAAAGTTTTAAAACCAGCTGTGTGAGGGAACAGCAGTACTGGGAAAGGAGCTAATTCTTTTCCCCGTATCAACTTCCTGATCTAAATTCCACCCACCAGTTGCTATCAGTCCAAATGTGATGTGGTGGGGGGTGTCAGAAGATGAGCAACATTTATAGCTCTTTGTGGAAGTTTTCACTTCTTCTTAAAACTGCTCCACCCAATTCAATTGAATAGTTATGGTGGTGGTGTTCTTTTTAACAGCCAAATCTTTTCTACAGAATCTTTTCTATATTTTTATTTCATTTTGATTTGATGCTGCTGCAGATTTCCCAAGCCGCGAGGTGGCCAGCTCACATGAGATGTCAGTAATGAATGAGATATGGAAAGAAATCTCAGTGCATGGCCATTTTATTTATTGAAGGGATTTTTATACTACCCTTCAATAAAAATTCACAGGGCAGTTTGCAGACAAAGAAAATACCAAAGCAATTAATTGCACAAATAAAATACGATAATAAAAACACAAGACCTAAAAGGCTGTAATATCTTCAAAGCTGTAGAAAAACAGATGGCTGCTCCTCCAAATATTAACTGCATGTACGACTCCTTGCATGCACTTTATCACATAATGATACATTCTTCAAAGGAGAATGATTGACTACCGGTACTTACAGTGATGGAGAAGGAGGGGAAAGTTTATGCAATGCACGAGGGAGGGGAATGCAGAAACTTTGTACTCTGCACATAAATGTGCAGAGATTCAAATTAAGAAAGTATTACTGCAGTTTAAACAGAAATACAGTATATCTCACCATAGTGGGGAAGACTGATTGAACTGCTCAATCTTCAGTCCAGGATCAGCCCATTAATGGACAATGTCAGCCTTGTTAAGGCTGTTTATCTTTAACCTGTACAATGGTACCTTGGTTCTCAAACTTAATCCGTTCCGGAAGTCCGTTCCAAAACCAAAGCGTTCCAAAACCAAGGCGCGCTTTCCCATAGGAAGTAAGGCAAAATAGATTAATCCGTTCTAGACTTTTCAAAACAACCCCTAAAACAGCAATTTAACACGAATTCTACTATCTAACGAGACCACTGATCCATAAAATGAAAGCAATAAACAATGTTCTGCAGTCACACAGTCAACCAGTCAGTAGCTGAACTGGGTTCCACACAGTCACAAAAACAAAACAAAAAGCCACAAAAATGCAAAAGAAATAGCAAAAACGGACAGACCTCAGTGTAACACTCAAAAGAGAAGTGTGGCACTCAAATCGGAAGCATAACACTCAAAATGGAGCATATTCGGCTTCTGGAAAAAGTTCACAAACCGGAACATTTATTTCCGGGTTTGCAGTGTTTGGTTTCCAAGTTGTTTGAGTACCAAGGCATTTGAGAACCAAGGTACCACTTGGAAAGGGCAGCCTTTCATATAGGAGACTGTCCTCTGTAAACCTTAGCTTTGAAGGAAAGGCTTCAAATAAATGCCAGCCTTGTGGTGCTCATCCTTCCTTGTCTCACCTTCTTGAACAGCAGTTCCTACTCACTTGCTAGATGGCACGATGTCTACATGCAACTCTTTTTTATAAAAAAGTGCAACAAAACAGAACTAGGCAAAAGAAAAACCCCAGAATGATAAAAGCAATTCCAAAAATAATCTGCCAACTAGAATGTCTGGACAAAGAAGAAGGCCTTTGGCTGGTGCCAAATAGCTTGTAATGAGCACCTTCTTAGAAAGGACATTCCAGAGTTAAGGTGCCACCACAGAAAATGTCCTTCCCTTTGTAGAAGCAAAGCTTATGTCCAGAATGTGGAAACAGAGCAGCTATTTCACCTTTCACAAATAGTGGCATGGTAGCACCTCAGCAGCTCCAGGGGTTTCTGTGTGGACAGCCTTTTGTGGCTGTTCCCAAGACTGCTTCTCTGGAATTCTGCTCTTGCATCTAACTTCATTTCTTATTCTCCCCTCCCTCCTTTTCATATCACAAGGCTGACAAACCAAAGGGCAACGGCAGGGCAGAGGCCAAGAACTCTTGTGCACAATGGGTGGGGAATTCCCATAGATCCCCGCAGCATTTGCCGGGCTTGGCGTCAGATTCATGGAAATACAAAGGATTGCAGCTTGAGCTTTCCTCTCTGGAGAAGATGCTCCTTGGTTTACCTAGCTCCTTGACTCCACTGTAAAATCATCACAGTGATCTTACCATATCAGGCAGTGTGAAGGCATAGAAAGAGAATAGGTATGCCTTCAGGAGAGCACTTACATGAAAGGAGAGGGACATTATTCTTTAATTCTCTTCAGTTTTTCAGTTCCCCTCCCTGAAACACTGCCTTTCAACAAGATTTTGGTCTTTCAAAGTTGCTGTTTCCTTAGACTTTCAGATGCCGACTCCTTCACTGAGTGGCCACCTGAATCTGGACCTTCTAATGCCCTGTAGCCCAAGTGCCTGGGAGGCAGCTTGACCTCCCACTCTAACTCAGAATGGGGTCCTTCTGCTGCAGGTGAGCTGCGGTCCCAGCCTAAGAGTCCTTCCAGGGAAACCTTTGCAGACAGGCCTGGTGAGGTCTCTTCCTGGATCTTCCAAATCCGTGCTGGAGTTGAGGACCTCTGTCTGTTCCCCAGGGTCTCCTGGCTATGGGAGATCTGGGTCTTCAACAGAAGGCAAGCCATTCAGGGCGAGACCAGAGCGCAGTGTGACAATCCCATGCAGTCAGTGACGCTGCTCTAGCCCATTGCTACACTTGTCAATATCCTAAACATTCCCACTCTCAGCTTTCCCAACTGTTAATCAGTCACTGACCACTACAGAAAACTTATTGCAAGCACCCTCATTTGAACTACCCTTAAGTAGAGTTTGCATTTTGTTGTTGTTTAGTCGTTTAGTCGTGCCCGACTCTTTGTGACCCCATGGACCAGAGCATGCCAGGCACTCCTGTCCTCCACTGCCTCTCGCAGTTTGGTCAAACTCATGCTGGTAGCTTCAAGAACACTGTCCAACCATCCTGTCCTCTGTCGTCCCCTTCTCCTTGTGCCCTCCATCTTTCCCAACATCAGGGTTTTTTCCAGGGAGTCTTCTCTTCTCATGAGGTGGCCAAAATACTGGAGCCTCAGCTTCAGGATCTGTCCCTCCAGGGAGCACTCAGGGCTGATTTCCTTGAGAATGGATAGGTTTGATCTTCTTGCAGTCCATGGGACTCTCAAGAGTCTCCTCCAGCACCATAATTCAAAAGCATCAATTCTTCGGCGATCAGCCTTCTTTATGGTCCAGCTCTCATTTCCATACATCACTACTGGGAAAACCATAGCTTTAACTATACGGACCTTTGTTGGCAAGGTGATGTCTCTGCTTTTTAAGATGCTGTCTAGGTTTGCATACAGCTTGTCAAAAACTCTAGAGCAACAGAAAATATTATTTATGTATGCAACAACGGCTGTGCGGATGCTATTAGCCCCAAAATGGAAGGATACAACAATACCAACTAAAGAAGAATGGCAAGCCAAAATGATGGACTATGCCGAAATGGCAAAACTAACGGCGAGATTAAGGAATCAAGAAGATAAGGACCTTAAGAAAGAATGGGAAA